TCTCCCTCCCCCTCTCCCACTCCCTCTCCCTCTCTCTCCCTCTCTCTCCCTCCCCGCCTCTTAGGCTATACTTGTACTCACAGGGATCGTCCTGCCTCTGCCTCCTGAGTGCTGGGATTAAAGGCATGTGCCATCATGCCCAGGCACTGTGTTCTCTTATCGAGCGGGATCCACCATGGTGCTTGGTTTGTTTCTGGGTTAAAAAGACCCCTGCTGATCCCACAGCCATTTACTGTAATAATACTCTAGTGTCTTCTGCAAAATGGGCTGATCTCAGGCTGAGGTCAGAAATCCATTCCATTGATTTAATCGCTTCTCTGTGTTTCTCCCTATGAGTAACCAGTGGGGTAGAGAGAACATCCTTGTTATGTGTGTCATGTTACTGTGCTTTCAGTTTAGTTAAAAGGCCTGCTTGAGTGGGCTTTGTGTGAGGAGGTTCAAACTGTGTGATGGTGACTCTTCACTCTCAACCTGGCTGGGTTTGGATCACTGCGAAAGCATACCTCTGGGTGTGTTTGTGAAGATGTTTCCAGAGAAGTTTCACTGATGCCTGAAACCCCATCCTGAATATGGGAGGCACTATTCCACGGGCTGGGGCCCTAGACTGAAAGCAAGCTGAGCATCAGCATTCATCTCTCTCAGCTTCCTCACTGTGGATGTAGTGTGACCAGCTGCCTTATGCCCTTGCCAGCATGCCTTTGCTGCCATGCTGGACTGTGTCCCCTCAAACCGTGAGTCAAAATAACCTCTTCTCCCTAAGTTGTTCCTTGTCAGGTGTTTGATCACAGCAATAACAGCAGCAAAGTAACACAATAGTTCATTCATCAAGTGAATGTACAAAAGTTAAAAAGTAACACATTGCTCTAGGCTTTACCATACCCCCAGTTTGAGCACAGCCTGGGACAGGAGCTGTGGGGTGCAGGTGGTGACCGAAAGACAGCTGTGTGTGGAGATTGCCATCTCATAGCCACATGGGTCATATGCTATAATGCTCAGAAAGAGCTTCCTAGCATAGTAACAGAGGTTCTGACAAGGTGCTGTGTGACTATAGGAAAGGATAGGGAGACGAATTCTGCTTGGAGGGGGTCAAGGTAGGGAAGTGATGGTGTCCAGCTGTGCCTGGGAGGATGGATCCTTACTGGTGTATTTATTGGATCCACACAAGAGGGAGCATTACTGTGGTGAAGCTGGGACCATGATGGCTGTGTTCTTTCCTCTGTCCTTTGTGCCTCTGGTACTTGGGACATGGATGGATGGTTGGATGGATAGATGGATGGATGAATGGGTGGATGGATGAATTGAAGGAGTAGACAGATGAATCCACAGATTAACTTCAGGTCAGCTTCTAGCTGAGGGAATGGCTTGTATGGTTAAAGAGTGACAGGGAGCAGTTGATATTGGTTAAATGGTAGCTGGTTCGACTCAAGTGCGAATGTTTGAGAGAGGATGGCAGTGGAACAAATTGGATAAAGGGCTTAGAGGATGAAGGAATGAGAACTTAGGTTTTCCTTCCAACATAGTGTGTGCTTAGCAGTAGGCACTGCTGTGGGTAGGTCTTAGCAGTGAGCATGAAGAATTCTAAGTTAAAAATAATAGTGTTTGTGGACTCATAATAATGATACGTGTTTATGGGGTACAGCATTGTGCTCGTAGCATATAATGATCACATCACAGTGATTGGTTCATTCATCACTCCAAACATGCATTGTATTGGGAACCTTCAAAGTACTCTGTACACATTGTTTTGAAATACTCTTACTGGTTGTCAACCACGATCACCCTACTGTGCTGTATAGCATTAGAAGTTGTCCCTACTATCTAACTGCACCCCTGTATCCTTAGACACCATCCCTCTCCATAATTCTAAGACTTGAGAGTAGAATTCAAGCTGGAAAAGACCCCTGATGTGGCCTTAACTGCTTTGCAGGCTGTAGACGAATGACGGAATGCCAGAGATAGGCCTCAGATTCAGCTCCCTACCAGCAAGGCCGCTGCCAGGGCTGCATTCTCACTCCTCCGTCTTCCTCTCTCTAGACGTGTGCAACAGTACCAACCTTCCAGAAGTTGAGATCATTAGCCTGCTGGAGGAGCAGCTGCCCCATTACAAGTTAAGAGCCGACACCATCTACGGCTACGATCATGATGACTGGCTGCACACGCCTCTCATTTCTCCAGATGCCAACATCGACCTCACAACCGAGCAAATTGAAGAGACACTGAAATACTTCCGTAAGTAGCTGCCCCTCCTGCAGGATGGGTAGTGTGTGGCCCCAGGTCAGGTCTGCTGTGGGTTATTGTGTCCTGTGCTTGCAATCTGTGGAAGGGTGGCCAAAGAGATGTGGCTGTAGGGGTCAGCCACATAAAAGGGTCTTGTTGGTCTGAATGAGTAGTGGGGACCAAGTGTTTTCATTTGAACCACACAGAACTCCAACGTGTTCTTTGTAAACTCTTCTTTATGCATTCGTACTGGGAGTGAGTCCATTTGTATTTAAAGTCAGAGGTCACAAGGACAGCTAGACAGCCCTCTTATGTGACCTAGACATAGCAAGTGTGTACTAAGGTTGACAACTAGGTGAAAGCTCACTGAGCTGGTATTTGAGGAGTCACAGCACTACCGCTGCCCCAAGTTACACTGGGCAGCAGGGCTGCTACCTGATAGGGTGAGCCCTGCACTAGGGGAGGCGTGTGTGTGTGTGTGTGTGTGTGTGTGTGTGTGTGTGTGACAGAGACAGAGACAGAGAGACAGACCAGGGCATGACACTTGGTACTGCCCATAAATGATAGTGATTTTAGAAGTTAATATTTAATGTTACTGATGTTTATTCCAATAAGAAATGTCTTTTCATTCCTTCTTTTCTTTCTTCCTCCTTCCCCTCCCCCTTTTCTTTCTCCTCCCCATTCCTCCCTTTACTTTCTTCTCCCTCTCCCTCCTCCTTCCCCTCCTGCTTGCCCTTCATTTCTTTCTCTTCTCTTTCCTCTCTCTCTCCTCTTTCTCTGCCCCCGCACCTTCTCCTCCCCCTCCACCCCTGTTCTTTCAGTGCTGAGGTTTAAAACAAGGGCCTTGTATGTGCTAGGCAAATGCTATACCACTTAGCTAGACCCCCAGCCTTCTTAAGGGGTGCCTTTAAAATATTTTATTTATTTTTATTTTATGTATATGAGTGGTAATGCTTGTGTGTATGTACACCTGTGTCGTGCAGTGCCCATGGAGGTCAAAAGATGGCGTCGGATCCCCTGGAACTGGAGTTAGGGACTGTTAGCAGCCTCCATATGGGTTCTGGGAACCAAACTAGGGTCCTCTGCAAGAGCAGCTGGTGCTCTTAACCACTGAGTCATCATCTCTCCAGCCCCAAGGGGTACCTTTTAAAAGCAATTCTACTCTTTTTGTTTGCTTTAATAACTTTTTTTGAGACGGGGTCTCTCAATGTAGCTGAAACGAGCTTGAAATTACCTATATAGTCCAGGATGGCCTCAAACTCACAGTGATCTTCCTGCCTTGGCCTCTCAAGCGCTGGGATTATGGAGGCGTGCCATGCCAGGCAACAAAGTTGCTTTATTCCCCCACTCCTGAGGTATTGATGATCAAATCCAGGGTCTCCCACATGTTAGGCAAATGCATTACCACTAAGCCAGCCTCCCTCCAGCCCTGCAGTTCCACTCTTGAGAAATTCATGTATTCTTTCTTGTTCGTGTATTTGTGTGAACCTTGTTTGCAATAGTCCAGCTTCTCATAGAGATAACTTGATTGAAAAGCAGCAGCTTAGAGTATGTGGCTCTGAACTTTCTGCAATTATTTTTTCATAGTACAGACCAGTCTTTCCAATTTCCTTGAATTTGTGAGATCGTAATAAGCAAGTTGGAACTAGGGCTCCTGCTTTAGGGTGTATCTAGGGTTATTCCCAGGTTTTCCATGTTAGATACTAATAGGAAAGAAATTTGTTTAAATTGACGTGTGTGTTTACACTTGATGCAGGCCACATAGTGTCTATGTGTACGTGGCAGATAACCAGTGCCAATGAGGATGAAAATAATAGTCCCAGGCCGAGAGTGTCTGCTGCATCTCGGAGTGTGTCAGAAGCTCTCTGTGAGTCACTTTTGTTGACTCAGGGCATGTCTACCAGCAAAGAGGTGCGGGGCTTTGTGCAAAAAGCCAAGTCCCCTCTTACATAGGTTTCATACTTGCCTTCATTGTAGAAGTCCATGGTAGAATTCACAATAGAAGTTTCAGAAAGTCTGTCATGTGGTGTGCTCTTCTGTAGGACTCTACACTCCTACACTGTGGTTCTGTAGTGCCCTCAGCTGCTGTTCCTGCTAGTGGAGGCTCCTGGGTCCCTTCCCATGAACACTGACCATTAATGTGCATGGTCTACTTGGAGCAACACCACCCTCTTTTCAAGGAATATTCACAGAACTGTCTCACTCCATCCCTATAAAACATGTAGGTGGGCAGGGCTGGTCTGATAGCAGAGGAAGGCAGAAATGTAGAGGACTTTGTTTTATCCCCAGCTCTGATGCAGTTTCTAAAGTCTGTTTATCAGTAGATTTAAATGGAGACTGTGTCTTGTTTGTTTTTAGATATTTTGTAAGAGCACCATAAAAAAACATCCTGGTAGAATCTCCAGTGGATTCCACAATCTATAATAAAGTTGGAGAGACTGATGAGAACATGGCAGATTCTGACAGTGTGTGCAGCTAGGTGCATCCAGGTCTTCTTGATTGTATTTTCTTTTGTGGATCCTGTGCTCCTGTGCTTAGAGCTAAGTGACTGTCTGGAATAGTTGGGGCTGGAGAGATAACTCATCAGTTAAGAGCCTATACTGCTCTTACAGAGAACCCAAGTTTGGTTCCCAGCACCCACACTGAGTGACTCACAACCACCACCTGTAAGGCAGGTATAACTCCAGGTTATCTGACACTCTCTTCTGAACTCTGCAGGTACCTGCACACACACACATACACATACTTACACGTATACCCACACACATACACATAATTAAACATAAAATAAATATTAAAAAAAGTCTGTTATTTGAACAACCCAGCATTATCTCTGAAATACAGGACCCTAGCAGGACTTTTAAACTAAAGTCCTGGGACCCCCAAATGTCTGTAGAGAAAATTTAGGGATTCTGTAAATTATAAAGGAAGACTGACATTGTTATTTTCATTAACTTCCTACTGAAATGTAATCTTGTTCCCCATTATCAGCTCAGAGTACAAAGCAGGGTGCACCCTGCAGGACCCGTAACTTTGCCTCCATGCCATGCAACAGCAGTGGATTCTGTTCCTCACTGCATACAGATGGCACATGTTGCTCAATGCACCTGTAAGAGCTTGCTGTTTACTACATTCCTAAGGCAGCTCTTACATCATATCACGGCTTTGCTTTCCCTTCATGTCACACTTTTCTTGGGTTCTAGTGATCACACAGAAAGGTGTTTCTATTTGCTGACCTTTGTGTTCTGTTTTATATCCTCAGATCTTTCCTCTGGGGAGGGCTCTGTGAGTACTGCCAGGTAGGTAGAGTGGTGGGTGGAGGGCTCAGGTTAGGGACTCTGCTTGGTGCTTAGTATCCTTTGTGTGTGTGTGTGTGTGTGTGTGCATATATGTGTGTACATGCATGCATTAAGGCCAGAGGTTGATGTCTAGTGTCTTCCTTTATGGCTCTCTACCATATTTCTGGAGACAGGGTCTCTCACTGAACTTACAGCTCACTGATTCAGCTAGGCTGGCTGGTCAGCAAGCTCTGGGGATCTTCCCTTTCCCAGCGCTGGGATTACAGGCACAAGCCTCTATGCCTCAGTTTTTACATGGGTGCTAGGATTGAACTCAGACCCTTGTGTTTGCACAGTAGACACTTTATCAAGACTGAGCCAGCTCTGTTTGTGTTTTGTGTTTTTGTTTACATATGTAACCCAGGTGATGTGTGACTCAGCACTGAGTCATCCCAGTGTCTAGTCACTTGTGAGTTCCCTTTTAGAGCCTCTGTCAGCATTTTATAGGGTGTGGGCCTCTGTTGTAGGTAGAGTTGGGGGTACAGGGCTCCTCCTGATGAGAACCCAGGAAAAGGGCATATACACATACCTCACTGCACAATCAGAGTAGACAGTCTGCTGTCATATTTAGAGATCAGATATACGACTCTGCTCCCATCCTGGGTGGAGAAGCCAGGCTGCTTTTGAATCCGGTTCTCACCTGCTTGACCCATAGGAGAGAGAAACTTTGGGTTTCTGTCTTTCTGCAGGGGTAAAATGATCTTTTCTGAGACGTTTCAGCACTTCCCCAGCTAGGAGAACTTTTTAATTAAAAAAAATTTTTATTGAGTTTTTAAAATTTCATACATTTTCCACTCAAATCCAGACCCCCCTCCCCCATCCATGCCTTCCCCCTCATCCCCCCACTGAACCCCATGCACTCTGTCATACATGCTAAGTCCTATTCATTCAGGTGTTTGTACCTGAGTGTCCTTCAGTGTAAATGCATCCACTGGAGTCTAGTCAGACCATCCAGTGGTCGTATGTAAGTCATACTCTCCCTTACTCAGTCTCAGTCTAGCGCTGGCCCACAACCTATTTCTCACCTCCCCTTTGGGCCCTTGTTTAATTGAGCTGACTTGGGTCATGCACTGAATGCCACCACTGCCACAGGCTCACATGAGCAAGACTCTAGTGGCCTGGAAGCCTCCACCTGCTAGGAGGGTTTTTAATTCTAGATGAGTCTAAAAAATATAGAAAATAAAAGTAGTCTACAGTGCAAGTGTTCACACAAGTATGGGGTATTTGAGATCAAAAGGCTGAACAGGACTTAAAAGTGGTCCACACCTAGTACTTCCTGTGTGCCAGTCCTACTTTCCATACTTCACACTTGTCCCCCTTCACCCTTACAGTGGTCTCTGAGCTGATTACCGTGGGACTCAGAGAAGTTAGGAAACTTCTGCAAAGTCACACAGCTAGCAAAGAGGGATGTTGATATTCAAACATTGTCTGGTCTGACTCCACATCCTTAACCATTCTCTCTCAGAGTAGCTGAACGCACATGCGCGCACACATACACACACACACACACACACACACACACACACACACACACATAACAATAACAACAACAAAACAATTTCCCAGATCTCAGTGTTAGGATATGTTAAAGACTTACTTATTTATAAGCTATATGTCTAACATACACAAAGTGATTTTTCATGACTCAGGGTCACATAAGATGTGGTACATAGT